CCCCCCCCCCCCCCCCCATTTTAAGCCCAGTAACGATCTGAAACTGCATTTTAGTGAACTTCACTTTTTTCCCTTGTATTGTAAACACCATTTCTTCACTATCAATTGTTCCCCTCTCAAGTAAACCCACAAATAGCCCACAAGTCATCCACGGAACATCCCCCACATCTAAAAGACTATCAAATGCTGATTTCTGAAATAATTTTAATTCTTCCTCATTTAAAGCACTTTTAACTCTACGAATTATATCGTTCACAGTACAGTAGCTGTTTAGTCTCCCATCCCTATGAAAAAGCTTCATTTGGACCTGTACATTACATACCACATGTCCACAAGACAAGTGATTAGACCATATGATACAACAACCAATGCTGAAAACAGAAATTTTCACATAATGAATCCCACATGTCCACATGTCCACAAGACAAGTACCTAGACCATATGATACAACAACCAATGCTGAAAATGCAAGTTTACATAAAATGAATCCCACATGACCACATGTCCACAAGACAAGTACCTAGACCTTATGATACAACCAATGCTGAAAATAGAAATTTTCACATAATGAATCCCACATGCCCACATGTCCATAAGACAAGTACCTAGACCTTATGATACAACAACCAATGCTGAAAACAGAAATTTTCATAGAATGAATCCCACATGTCCACATGTCCACAAGACAAGTACCTAGACCTTATGATACAACAACCAATGCTGAAAACAGAAATTTTCACAGAATGAATCCCACATGTCCACATGTCCACAAGACAAGTACCTAGACCTTATGATACAACAACCAATATGGAAAACAGAAATTTTCAAAGAATGAATCCCACATGTCCACAAGACAAGTACCTAGACCATATGATACAACAATCAAGGATTTGATTTTGAAACACAAATTTCCTTTGTAATTTAATTCACATGACCACAAGAGCTCTAACCACATGACCGCTATAACTTTTTACTGCATGCAATACCAAAACCACTTTCAAAATGTCACAATCTAATTGAATATTTAACAAATATGTAACTAGGGTTAAGAACTTCATCTAAAATACAAAATACAGCTTTGATTTCCAAATGCATGTGAAATTCTACTCAAAACTTTCTCCTTATGACAGATCTTATCAAAAATTAACCCAGCTTTGATTTCCAAATTGCTTTTCAGTGCATTTCGAGTCAACACATACCTTTTTCTTCTTCGATTCTGTCAATGTCTTCGGCCTCTGGTCTTCAAAATCATCGTCCGCTATTTTCTTTGCACTCTTCTTCTGCTCGTGCTCTATCCGACCATGATCTTATTAGCCGCCTTCGATTTCTGTGTGTTTTTATGGTAAATGCTTTAGCGCAGGATTTAGGAGGCGGCGTAGATTAGAGGGAGGGTATTTTTGGGAGGGCGACGCAAATTAAGCCCTATTTGGGGGATTTAAGTTTTGGAGTCCTATTTAAGTGTATTTGATAGGTTTTAGTCCTATTTCAGTTTTTTCCCTAAACTTTTTATTCTCTAAATATGACTTAATAATGTCTAGTGAGAAGAATAATGTCCAAGTGATGCTGGACATTTAGTTGAATAATGACTAATAGATAATGACCAATGATCCTACATTGAGAAATAAAAACATATGATCTATTTTGAGAAAGTCATTATGTTTTAGTCCTATTTAGCTAAATTACTCTACATCTAATTCTCTCATACAAGTCATTATGTTTTAGTCATGTTTTAGACCTATCACCACATCACTTATTTTTAAACAATTTATGTTTTAAAAAAGACACTTACAAGTTACAACCCATTTCATCTATCTATAAATTTATTTAACTATTATTGAATCTCACCTTCCCACTTTTAATTTACTTCATTCATTATTTTAAATAAGTTATACTTCATATTATAATATCAAATAATAATATTTTTTATTAAAACATAATAAATGAAAAATAAATTACAGAAAATGTTAAGTTCAATGAATTTATATGTAGAAGAATCAAAATATAGAACATTACTACAACAATTTAATAAAAATTAAAATAAAATGACTAAAAAAATAAAGCTTATTACCCCGGAGTATTTAATAATAAAAAGACATAACATTAATAAAAATACAACCACCACTTTAACATTTAATCTATTATAGTTATTATTATTATTGTTGTTGTTGTTGTTATAGTGTGTCCAAATATGTTCAACCATCCCTACAAATATGTTCAGCAATCATTATTATATTAGTTGTTGTTGTTGTTGTTGTTGTTATTATTATTATTATTACTATTATTATTATTATTATTATTATTATTATTATACTCCCTCCTTAGTATTAACTTCTCACTTTCCATTTTAAATCCTCCTAAAATTATCTTCCTATTTTTATAAAAAGCAACTTTTTCACATATGAAATGACACAATTACCCTTGAAATTAACTCTCAGACACACCTTCTCTCACCATATCTCAAGAACCCTAGATCTAGCTAATGTTTCTCTCTATATCATCTCAAACACTACCTCTCCTCTTGAATTATCCGTTAAGAAATTAAATCCTTTGCTGTCACCTTCACTTTAGAGCCCCCGGCCCGCCTCTGTCTTCATGGATTATCGAGCTCCCTTTGCAGTCTCTAGGACGGTCTTATTCCTTAGATCTAATAGATCGAGAAGGATCATTTCAACCACTACAAAACTAAAGATTTTACTCAAAAATCTGAGGTTCAAAATTGAGCCTCCAAACTGGTTGTAGGATACCATTTGGGTCATAGCTGGCTTGATTTCAAAGGTATGGGCTTCACTAGCTGGAAGTCCTATTGAGTCCTCTTCTGTATAAGCAAAGCTCATGCCTCATGGCTTGCAAAATCGTTCTTTGTGGATTTGCCGCCATTTCTTCTTCTTCTTTGGAAAGTTTTTCTTCTTCTTCTGAAGTTTCTTCTTCTCTTTTCTCTTTGTCGTTGAACCTCAGTTGACGCGGGATTGGAGTTGTTCGTTGACGAAATAGAAGTTCGGGATTATTTGTTCCCGGAAGAATATTATTTCCGTAAATTTTCTTATTAATTAACTTCGAAATTATTTATTTTCTTTTCTTTCAAATATAAATTTTATTTTAGGAAGGGATTTCAAAATTAAA